AGGACTCCTAGGAAGCACAGGTACTCAAATCATGATCGTCGATTTTCTGTCTGTGTATTGCCAGAGGCGATCGATCGACCGACCACAGTTTTTACACCTGAGCCGAACACCAACGATTTCGCCCGGACTTCCGAACAGAAATTGCATCGGTGCAAAGAGGAAGTGAGGGAGGAAGAGGGGACATTTTCGGCTTCTTCAGCTCTTTCCGAGAATGGCGAAGGTGTTTTTGTCTTGGGTTCACGCGGTGCGCGGAAATCGAGCCGGTAACACCGACCGAGGTCAGGGAAATTGTATGCCGATCCGCCACGTCGGCTCTTAACGAGACTCGGCGAAGAGAAAACGAGGTGATTAACGACTGAGTGATACCTGGTGCGTCGGAGTATCTGGCCAGTTGACCAGCGGCGACCGACATCGCAGTGGTCGTCGACGACGGTTGCGGCAGGCCGGCGGCGGTCATCGGGGACGGCCCTTCATAGTCGATCACTTCAGTCTTTACCCGGGGGTAAAGGGGTGCGTTGAAACCGGTGAATATCTGCGCCATTCGTTGGTGGCCAAGGAACGAGCAACGAAAGGGAGAGCGAGCGGTCGCGTAAGCGTCCGTTTTCTTCGAGTACCGTAAACCACAAATGGAACGAGAACGACGAACAGCCTTTGTCTTTCGACGACAGCGAATTTTACTTGGAGTCAATAATGCGACTTAATTGAATCGAGTCATGATTACGTGTGCTTAATGCAGTGATCAAGATAAATAGAGAACAGAAGCGCCCGCCCCGGAGCTAACGCTTATTAAATGCAACACAACGTGTTCTCATTACACCACCGCCCCTTGAACCGCCCCTGTCTTCTTCTCAACGGCAGACAACCACTTCCAGCAGCAACATCAACCTGCTTTTTGCCAGCTAACAGCTCGGCTATACGCTGACGTTATTAATTGAGCGAGTTTGAAGTGTCACTCGTCTGTACAGTTTCGTGACCTTGCCAAACGAATACAGTCTGCTAAATGAAAATACACTGTACAGGCAAGAATGGCGCTTATCCGGCTGGGTTTGGTGAAAATGCTTCGAAGACCACTGACGGCACAATTACGGTATTGCAAGCCATCATCAGCGGTAAATCACAAAAACAAAACTTTAAGTGTATTATTGGACAAGAGAATGAGCAATTTGGACTGTAGAATACTGTAACTGTCGTAATCTATGCACACTTGATTCCTTTAGAATTTTAACAATATTTTCTATAAACATAACCATAAGCTGCCTATGAAAAGACATACATTCAAAACGAAGTACAGAATGCTGTACATACATATCGCGGAACGACACCAGAGATTCAATTGGCTGTCAGGGATAAAATGGCATTCTATAAAAGGTTTGTAGGTAAACATCGAACACGGTACGATGAAGTGTACAGAACGGCGGAGAAGGCGGTAGTCAAAGCAGAAGCGAATGCCTGCGAAAGTATGGCGAGGTGCTGCAGTCGAATTCTCAGATGAAAAACAAAGCATTCTGCTGCACCGTCCTCTCCCTCAGAGACGGAAAGGACAGTCTGTTAGTTGTGAAGGTGGGACAGGCGGACATCCTGATGCCTTCTTACCAACGCAAAGGATGTCATCCGGCAATGCCCAGAGTCCTTCGAGGAACTTCTTAACACGCGCAACCGCAGGAGGATTCACCTAAAAATCAGCAAATAGTGAATGTTAGTATTTTAGGAGTCAAAGTGATAGAAGCTGTGAAAGGCTTGAAAATAGCAAGGCTACTGGAATCGATGAGATACACCTTGAGATGGTTAAAGCTTCAGACCAGCAATGCATGTTATGACTGATAAGTGTACATCAAACTGCAATGACTACCGGGAGGATAACCGTCGATTGGAAAAGTGAAGTGGTAATACTTCGGTTCAAGCAAGGATCTTATAGGGAGTGCTGAAATGGTCACGACATTACATTATTGAGCCCCCATGAAAAGTCTACGCAAAAAAGGCGTCGCGAAATAGTTCACTCCAGGATCCAAAAAGTGAGGTGTGACTTCAGGTCAGGACGGAGCACCTCTTACGATCCTTGAACTGTGACAGATTGTTGAAAAATTAACTCAAGATAGGAGGAAGAAGCAATTATTTCTTGCCCAACCAATCGGTAGAAGGCCAAGATTAACCTGGTGCGAATGTATGGAAGGAGTCTGTTACAGACTCCAGTTGTCTTCTGCTGAAGCTCAGACTCTGGCACAGGATCGGGACGCTGGAAGCGTTGTCTGACGCGTCTGCCTCTTCGATCAGATAGGAGAGGATGAGGACGATGATGGCAAGAACATCTGTATCGTGGCAAATTAAGAGGCGATGGCATCAGCAACGGGTGACAAGTGATTTTAGTTCTGGAAGAATAAGAATGCTGACAATAGCATCCAAACTGCGGCATAGATGGCTTGCATGCTAAATATGTTGCTTCATAGCTTTGAAACGGGTCATCTTAGCATAATTCAAGAAATGAAGATTTTAAGTTCAATATTAGGAGTGAAACGATGAGCTGTTAGCGACTATAAAACAGCGGCAAGCAACACTATGCAACAATATCTCCCTGAGATCAGTGATGTTCAGGCGAGGAATCATACAGAGAGATTCATTCTCACTGATTTTGCTTTGTCGACATTCATTTAATTAAATTACTTATTGAATAACAGCAGAAATGATTTTAATTTCAAAATCGGCATCAGAATATCGCGAGACCATTAAAAGAACTAGATGATCTGACATAAAGCCCACGAATCTGTTTGGAAGATATCACTATGAAATTAGACATGAACAAATGTGCTATGATCGAGATTAAGATGGGAAAGTTTTGAAAAAACGATAGAGTCACGTTATCGACTTGTAAAATTAATGGTTTGGAAGAAGAGTAAACATGCAAATATCCCTGCGCGTTAAAACTTGACAATATATTATATGAAAAGACAAAATTAGCAATAAGGACGGAATTCTCTGAGAATAATCTCTCGGAATAATTCTTTGAGAATCCTCTGAATTCTGAAGATTTAGTTGAGCGAAAAGAACAAAATCGTGGCAATTGACCAGTGTGCTGCACCACTGCTTGCATATACATGAGGCATCGTCGAATGGGCGCAAATGGAAAAGATAGAAATATAAGGAAAGGCAAGAAAATCCTTGAACATGTATGTTTGAAGAGATACAGATAGACTGTATGACACGTGCAAAGAATGAAGAAGAGAGCTTGGTAGTATCAGAAATTAAAGACCTCAATCTTACGGTAATATCTCGCAGTAGCAGTGAACATTGAGGTGCTGACTCTCTGAAGGCTAAAGGCCTGTGCAAACTGAAACAGTAATAGTAAACGTTTGCGAATACAGAAACTCACCACGAAAATGGAGAGAACTTCAGGTTGAATAGATGAAAAAGTGAAAAGCTCCATGGACAGTGTCCTCTCTAATTCGGTGAAGTCAGATATTCTACCAAACTTTTAACTTGCTGCCATGAAGAGAAATGAACTGCGTAGCGAAACGGATGGAATTCTAATAGCCGCCCCAGGCCACGCACAAACTCATACAAAACGAAGATTCTGCTCACTCAACCAGAGGTAAAGTGCCGAATGTGTCATTTGAAAGATGAGACCGTGCAAGCATACACCTTCCGACTGCGAAGCATTCACAAATCGAAAATATGACGGAAGACAGATCCACGTTTCGAGGGTAGTCCACTGGCATTTCTCCAAGCGAACCGACTTACCAGAGGCAAAACTAGAGTGTAAACATCATCTGAATGGAGTGAAAGAGCCTCAGCAACACAAAATACTCTCCTAAAACGAACTGAGAAAGATACATTTGCTCATAATCCATATTTTGGTAAATAAATACAGAGAATAGGCTGACACAAATCACTGGTATAGTGCTAGCCCAGCTGAGGGAAACGTTATTGTCAAATGGTGAGAAAATATACTGAAATATCAACAATTGAGGATATAAACACGGAAGCTCTGGAACGAAAAGGCGGGTGTCGTTCCTGCGATAATCAGTGGCGTTCGAGCACAGTAACAGAAACTGCCAAAGGCTACAAACCTCAATTGATTAAGTGCTCAAGGTCGATGAACTGCAGAAAGCGAGCCTATTAGGAACAGCACGATTTTAAAATGAGAACAACAGGCCCATAACCATTGGTACAGGGTTCGAGCTGAAGTGATGGTCATTCCAATCATGTTGTACCTCAAAAGTGTTATGAAATTGAAAAACATGCATTGCATGGGAGTATAAGAGCCTCTGCAGAATCATAGTTTAGTATTTTCTCATAATCATGCAATAAATCATATTTAGCCCACGGTGCTCGAGCTTGAAAATTCGTAATATATTTCGTTTGTGACTTGGCTGATTTGAGTATTGTCAACTTAAACACTGCCTGAGGATAAATCCTTAATTAGAATTACCTGATTTGCTTCAGTTTCACAAACTGACTCAAAGGAGCGTCTTCGCCGTTCAAACGTGTCAGCGGCTTCTCTGTTAACAAGTCCGGAAGGTACTCATTCTTGCTCATTCCTGTGACTTGGCACGCACGAGCATAAAATTCAAATGGAACAAAGAAAACCGAATTAAGCTTTTAACGAATCCTTCCGTGATGAAACATGTTAATAATCCAGATTCACATAAGGTCTTGAGGAAATCCTACGGGTAGAAGATTAAAATTTGACGTGATAAGAAGCAGACGGTGCTTCACTTATGACGTCACGTATCATTAATGACCGAATGATCCTCGTTCTCATGATAACGGTAGTAAGTCAGCGGGACGGACGACTAGAGCTATGAACATCGTGTTTGTTTCATATGTTTCGAATGGTTTACGGTTCTCTCCAGATGCGAAACTGTTTTCAGCAATCAAACCGAGTTGAACGCTCCCCCAGACTGAAATTGAACACGACTGTCTTTTATAACTATGATTCTTAATTATTTGTCACATCATCGGAAATTATTTACTTGTTAATGAATTTTCACAAAGTACATTCGCTGCAAATTTATGTGATATCTAATGACTCCATGACTAGAACCACCAAGCGTGGATTCAAATGTTTGGGTGATTCCGTCATGAACGGGGCCGACGAGAGAAAACAATCTATCATCTGAAGTATCCTCAGGTCACAGAGTAGAAAATGTTCGAACCGCATTGCTCTATCCTTCAAGCTATTTTCAGACAGGCCAAATATGATGTTGAACTGAAGGAGTGCCACTGAGGTGAAGCAGCTCTTGTATCTCAGCCTGATTCGAAGCTGGCAGCGTGGCAGCTCGAGTTCAAACTATGGTCGATACAGATATGGAGCATTTTCGAAATGAG